TCCTTAGAGATATGTTTGCGACCTGAACAGTTTCAAAGTCAAAAAAGAAGTATATTTTCAGGAGTCAGAGTTACAGCAACCACTTAATAGTGTCATATGAGTGTCTTATATTTTTATAATATAAAACATTTTTTCATATTCAAAAGAATATCTAAATATTTTCCCTTGTAGGTGTTGAGTTCCCATGTTAGAAAAATGAGAATCTTTTGTGCTTTTGCACCAGACATGTACATTTGCGAGAGTATCTGGTTCTTATCAGAGAAGCCTTCTCTCTCTCCCTTTGCTAATGATCATTAGTTCTGTCCCTACCCAGTTACCCTACAGAACAGCGCTCAGTTCATTTCCTTCATTGACTTATCATGAATGACAATTCATTGATTATTGTTTAGTGGTAATCATCTCCATTTACCCTCCAGAAGGCAGGGGTCATATCTGTTTTGGATGCTCTAGTATCCTCTGACAGAGGACCTGACACCTGCTAGGTACTCAACAAATATTTGTGGACTCCATCTGTGAAATGTACATAAGGATGAATGCAGTGCCACTTCTGCAGGAGACTGAGAATCAGTCCAAGTACTCACAGACGTCCCCTGCCCTCAGTTCCAATAAATAAATAGACACATCATCTGCACTGCTCCTCATTCCTAGCATCATTCAACAGCTATAGTACATCGTCTCTGTTCCGTGAGTCCTTGCCTTGCACTACTGGCCAAGACTGGCTTCTCTGCCTTGCTTTTCTAAGTCCTAGAAAATGTGCTTCGGTTGTAGCCAAACTGCTGGGGATTTGTTCACTATTGTTTGTTTTCATAATTCTACTATGCTCTGCCAAACATGATGGCTTTTTTATCCTTTTCAGGCAATGAAAGTAAGGTGTGGTTCTCAAAATATAACCGGCTCAAGAATTTAAGCTTTTGAATATAATAACTACTTTGGGCAAGTCTCTAAGACTTCATATAAGGAATTGGCATTTTGTAACAAGCTGCCTGAGTTCTCATCATGATAAAAGAGTTTAGGATCTAGTAAAGTCAAGAGCAGTTCACCAGCTTTGGAATCAGATGTGAGTTTGAATCTTTGCTTAGAGACAGATTAGTTTTATGATTGCAGCCAATTAATTAATCTGAACTAATTTCCTCATCTGTAAAATGGTAGAGAAAGCAACCTGCTGATTCTTACCCCACCTTAATTTCCAGTTGGTGTAGAAGCAAGCCAAGTTGTAATATGGGCCAAAATTTCTATAAAATTTCATGGTCCAACATCTTTAACTTAAATAGCTTCATCAGGCTCTAAACCCATATTTTAGAAAATGGATTAAAAACAGAATATACCTGGGCCAGCACTGTGACATAGCAGGTAAGGCCACCACCTGCAGTGCCAGCATCTCATATGGGTGCTATTTTGAGTCCGTGTTGCTCCACTTTCGATCTGGCCCTCTGCTATGGCCTGGGAAAGCAGTAGAAGGTGGTTCAAGTCCTTGGGCCCATGTGCCCACGTGGGAGATAATGAAGAAGCTCCTGGCTCCTGGTTTCGGATCAGCGCAGCTCCAGCCTTTGTGGCCAATTGGAAAGTGAACCAGCAAATGGAAGACCTCTCTCTCTCTTCCTCTCCTTCTCTCTCTGTGTAACTCTGACTTTCAAATAAATAAATAAATCTTTAAAAAATCCAGAATATACCAATAATAATTATACTTACATATAAAATGCTACATAATACATGTTATTGAAGTTATTTATAATCAACAGATGAAAAATACTGCTGACACACTGTTCCTACTGCTTCCAAATGGCCTTAGATTGCTGCCATCAGGACACCTGTCAGTAGTTCTGCCTCCCTGCTGTAGTTTCCTCTGTCAGTTGCCCACAATCTAAGCCATTGTAGATTTCAGGTCGGCAGCCAGACTTAACCTAATCTCTGTGAAATCCCATCCTCAGCACTGAAACCACTGGGAATTCCATCCCTGTTGCAGGGAATTCCAGGTTAAACTCTTCTTGGATGTGATATTACAAGTCATTTTAAGGTTCACTGCAGGTAGTATCATATTTCACATATTAATAACTAAGTAGAGGCCGGTGCCGCAGCTCACTAGGCTAATCCTCTGCCTTGTGGCGCCGGCACACGAGGTTCTAGTCCTGGTTGGGGCGCCGGATTCTTTCCCAGTTGCCCCTCTTCCAGGCCAGCTCTCTGCTGTGGCCAGGGAGTGCAGTGGAGGATGGCCCAAATGCTCGGGTCCTGCACCCCATGGGAGACCAGGAGAAGCACCTGACTCCTGCCATGGGATCAGCACTGTGCGCCGGCTGCAGCGTGCGGGCTGCAGCGGCCATTGGAGGATGAACCAACGGCAAAAAAAAGGAAGACCTTTCTCTCTGTCTCTCTCTCACTGTCCACTCTGCCTGTCAAAAAAAAAAAAATAATAATAACCAAGTAGAATTCAGTGTTGTTTTAGTCTGGTTAAATATGAACTTTCTTGTCCAAAAGGTAGAACTGACTCCAGTTTCTTTTTTTTTAATTTTTTTTTTTTAAATTTAATTTTTTCCTTGAGAGGCAGAGTTACAGAGAGAGGGAGAGGCAGAGAGATGTCTTCCAACTGCTGGTTTACTCCACAAATGGCTGCAATGGCCAGAGCTGGGCTGATCCAAAGTCAGGAACCAGGAGCTTCTTCCTGGTCTCCCATGTGGGTGCAGGGGCCCAAGGACTTGGACCATCTTCTACTGTTTTCCCAGAACATCAGCAGGAAGCTGGATTGGAAGTGGACCAGCCAAGACTTGAATTGGTGCCCATATGGATGCTGGCGCCACAGGCGGATGGTTAACCTACTATGCCACAGTGCCGGCCCCCAAGTCTGTTCCTTATGTTAGCCATGTTTTATGCCACTGCCTACTAACCTTGACTTAGTGGACAGGGTGGGGCCTCCCAGTCCTGCGGTAATAAAGGGTAAGGTATAGACCCTACTATTTACCTGAACATGACGTGTCTGTGACTTCCTATCAGGGGACAGGACTGTAAGCAAGTACCTATTTTCATTATCTTTGGAACATCCCTAACTCTCAACACAAAAATAATTGACCAACTGTTTATAGTCTTCTCAGGTTTCTGGAAGCCACTCACTGTTTCTGGGTGATGCTAGTCCTTTTATACCCAAGCAGAAGATACCCTCCTCTGCCTTCAATGCTGAGTCTGTCTTTTGATGAAAAAATTTTAAACATAGGCATGGTTATTTTGTTCAGGACATCTTTAGGAACAAGGGAAGAGTGTGCAAAGGCGAATTGAAAGGGATAGGAAAGATAACTTTTTCTCTTTCAGAAAGAATAATGAAATGGAAGCTAATTTCACTTTTAGTAATTACCTCAATTAAATTAAACCTATATTTGCAGTTCTTTCTAGTGTCTCATGGTGTAGTAAGGTATAGTATTGAAACTACTAATGATGCAGCTAACACCAACCAGTGTTCTATCAATGTAAGCAATATACTTACATCATGAAAATGATTTTCATCAGATCATCAATTTCTAAAACATTGTTGTGAGAAATGCTCATGTCTCATCCCCCAAATTTTCTATTTTTTAGCATTTAAGTAATTCCAGGAAACGAAGTCTGCTGTACTCTGTTAGGGAGTCACAGTAATAGTTTATATTATTTTATCCTCCAATAAAGAACAACTAGACATTAACACATTGTTTTCCAATTTCTTTCATTACCCCATACCCTCAGGAAGAGCCTGTGTGTTACTGACTTTAGAGACTGTGTTAGTATTTTGAACGTTTTGATTTCTAAGATACAAGAGTTGCCCTTGCCCTTCCCTCACCACTTGCAAATGTGTGTTTGGGGCGTGATGATCCCTCTTCAAAGATGTCATAGGGACATTGGCAGAATTAAATCTCTTGGCTCCAATCTTTGTCATGTTGACTTTGAGGAAAGATATTGCAATCTGGAAGTAAAAATAGCTCTGGATTGTAAATGGCAAAAGCAGAGAGAAAGGAAGGCAGAAAATGATAAGAGATGTAGCTAAATATTTATATATACAAAAAATGAAAACATGAAAAACGTTCCTTCTGAAATACATAATTAAGCTCAAGACAGAGTAGGCAGATGGAGTCAGTAATTACAGGTTCCTAATGTATCTAAAATTCCAAGAGATTCAAAGTGTTGCTACTAATTCTGTAGCTTCACAGTTTATAGCTTGTTGCTGTTTATAACAGGCTCTGCTCCATTAACACTTGGTGTTCCAGTTAAGATAGCTTACAATTTAAAAATAAAACAGTAAAGTGACACAATTCTGACCTACTTAGATATTTATGTGAAAATGTCATGCAAAATTGAAGTTATTTTGCATGTCTTCAATTATTAGTAGTACTATCGTGCTATTATTATAAGCAGCTATGGTATCATAGAAAAGCCCTTAGATCTGGAAACTCATTTCCTTTAAACAAATGTTTATTGGATGCCTGCTATTGGATAGGCATTCCTCTGAGCCCCTAAGATACACCAGTGATTAAATAGACAAATATTTCCACTCTTGCAGAACTGTTATTCAGCGGGGTTTGGGGAGGCAGTATATAAATAATATAAATAAATGTTTTACAGTGTATCAGAGGTGATAAGGGCTCTTGTAAAGGGTAAGATGGTACCAAATAAATGGGCCCATACTGGTAAATAGTTTAGTCAGGATAAGGTTCATAGATAACATGAAATGTAGGCGAAGACTATGAAATTGCCCATGTGTGTACCTATAGCAAGGGAGGAAGGACAGTACAAAATCTCCAGCATGTGTTCCATGACCTGTCATGTAACAGTATGAAGCATGCATGAGAGAACTGTAAAAAACTCTGAAGAAGGTGACACAGGGAGCACATACAAGGTCTTCTTGGCCATCATAGATTATTTGGGTTTATTCTCTCAATAATAGAAAAAAGACTAATTCCAAATACATAGCATTTAAACAAATAGAGATGCATGAGTTATAACCAACTGTATTGTTCAGCTTTTTGGTACCACAACTAAAATACCTGAGAAGAGACTTTCTTAAGAGGAAGAAAGCTTATTTTGGCTCATGTGTTTTGGAAGTTTGCAGTCCATTTAGGTGACTCTTTTGATTTTGGGATCTGATGAGGCTGGAGGATGGCAGAAGAATGGTCACATGATGAGCCAGGAGGCAGAGAGAGAGAGAGAGAGAGAGAGATACTAAGTCCAACTCGGCTTTAATAACCAAACTCTGTTGAGAGCTACTTTCCCACAAGCACCCAATAAGCTAAAAATGCTCCATTGGGTCCGCCTCCAAGGTGCCATAATTGCATCAGATTTTCACCTTTAATCCATTAATATCAATCCATTGGTTACTAACATAAAATGGGCCTTTGGGGGATACTCAAATTGTTATACAAACAAGAACACCAAGAAATGTTTTTAAATGATAAAAACTATGATTCATGAACTATAACATTTATCATAGGTGCTAGCATTGTGGTATAGTAGGATAAGCCTCCGTTAGAAGCATAGACATCCCATTTGGTAGTTGGTTTCTGTCTTGGCTGCTCCTCTTCTGATCCAGCTCTCTGCTTCTGGTTTGGGAAAGCAGTGGAAGACGGCCCTGGTGTTTGGGCCCCTACACCCATGTGGGAAAACAGGAAGAAGCTCCTGGTTCTAGGCTTTGGATATTCCCAGCTCTGATCTTTTCAGCCATTTGGGGAGTGAAGCAATGAGTAGAAGACCTTTCTTTCTGTCTCCTTCTCTCCGTCTATAACTTTGCCTCTCAAATAAATAAATAAAATCTTAAAAAAGGAAAGAATTTATTGTAAGACTGACCTTTGTTATCTCTTTGGAAGACAGAGTCCACCCTAAGCCCATCACCTTTCCTTACTATTGTACAAGATTCAGGTTTTCTTCATAAGTACTAAATCAAGAGAGGTATTTTAGGAAAGGGCTCCTCCTGCTTTTTTTTTTTCTCTAACTGTAACAGTGAGCTTGCACAGAGAACTCCAGTCCATGATTTAACACTGGAAAGCCCTGCCCGATTTCTGTTTGAGGAAGATTTGCTATTGGTCCAAAACTAAGAGATCATTGCCCAATCATACCCCTGACTACTTACTCATTGCTAAAATCACAGATGTGATGAAATTTCTCCTAAATCTGTGAAACAATAAGATGAAGTTTCCATTTTCAGTTAGGATAAAGAGAACAATACTTCCATCCCCTCCATAAGAATACATTTTTTTCTAAAACTTTTGATAATTATGGACATAAAAGACTATAAGAAATCCAAATGGTGAAGGCATGATCCCTCCTATGTAGTAACAGGAGGTATATCTGTAACTTGGGTCAATTGCTGAGGCTGGAGCAGGTCAAGCCAAGCAATGAGCTTGTCAGAGCTAGAACTTCAAATGTGAACATAAATGAGACTCAGATTCAGAGACAATCCTTTTTAATGAGGATCCTTTACAGAAGTTTGCTGAGTAAGTGGAGGCTAGGATAAAGTTTAAAAGTAGAAGAGCCTATAGTCCCAGTCTAACAATTTCTTTCTTTCTCTTCTTCTTCTCTACCTCCTCCTTCTTCTCCTTCTCCTCTTCCTCTTCTGCCCCTCTCCTCCTCCTTCTTCTTCTTCATCTTCTCCCTCCTTCTTCTCTTTCTACTTCTCCTCCTTCTTCTCATTCTCTTTCTTCTTAAGATTTATTTATTGGCCGGCGCCACGGCTCACTAGGCTAATCCTCTACCTAGCGGCGCTGGCACACCGGGTTCTAGTCCCGGTCGGGGCGCCGGATTCTGTCCCGGTTGCCCCTCTTCCAGGCCAGCTCTCTGCTGTGGCCAGGGAGTGCAGTGGAGGATGGCCCAAGTGCTTGGGCCCTGCACCCCATGGGAGACCAGGATAAGTACCTGGCTCCTGCCATCGGATCAGTGCGGTGCGCTGGCCGCAGCGCGCCAGCCTTGGCGGCAATTGGAGGGTGAACCAACGGCAAAGGAAGACCTTTCTCTCTGTCTCACTCTCTCACTATCCACTCTGCCTGTCAAAAAAAAAAAAAAAAAAGATTTATTTATTTGAAAGGGAGAGTTAGAGAGAGAGAAACAGAGACAGAGACAGAGACATCTCTTCCCTCTGCTGGTTCACTTCCCAAATGGCCACAACAGCCAGAGCTGAGAAAATCTGAACCCAGGAGCCAGAATCTTCATCTGGGTCTCCCACGTGGTTGCAGGGACAAAGGACTTAGGCCATATTCTGCTGCTTTCCCAGACACATTAGCAGGTAGCTGGATCAGAAGTTGAGAAGCTGGGATGTGAACTGGGGCTCATATGGAATGCCCGTGCTGTATTTGGTGGCTTAATCTGCTACACCACAACACCAGCTCCTTCTTATAGTCTTGTGCTCTTGAAATATTATGGGCTTGCAGACTTGCAGTCTCTGAATGTTGATGTAGCAATTTCAGTATGCAGGAATATTACCCTCCACAAAAGAGAGGTTTTAATTTGCCTTCAACTATCTGAAGCCAGAGGTGAAGTGAGTATACCTCAAGCTACCAAAATACCCCAACGTAATACTATTTCTGATCAGATCAAAGACACATGTGCCCTGGTGGGCTCAAAAATTGGGGGCCATTGCTTACTAAGACCCTAAAAAATCGTCAAAGGAATAGTATCCCCAAGAACTTCAAATTTTCCCCCTTAACTTATTTTTCTCTTATACATATAATACTCACAATAATCTTAAAAATTACAACACATGGAAATATGGGATCACGGTGACTGGAAATACCGAATCTCCCTGAAACTGCCCCCTCTCCTAGTCTGGGTTACAACTTCCCTTTTCCTCCCCCAGAGGTTGGAGCATACATCATGACATCAACTATTGAGGGACACAAATACCTCTTGCACTGAAGCTTGAGGAAGTAAATGAACAGCTCTGTGAAAGGAGTGAGGACAGAGGGTGCAGAGCAGAGGCAGGTCAAAGTCTCCACTCTCATTCTACAGCTTAAGACAAAGCCCTAACCAACCCCACTAATCAGGGCTGCCATGGGTTCAGTCACCTAGTCTAAGGTCAGGGTCAGGCCATATCTGGTTTCAATGAAGACAGAAGGGAGTAATGTCAAAGTGAGTCTGCAAAGAAGAATCGAAGAGGGAATCCTCCCACCCAGCCCGAGACTGTTCCAATTCCCGAGCCTCCTGCTAGGGAAATCCTGTAGATCCAATCTCCACTGTTTCAGAGCCAGTGAGGAGAGGTGGCCACAAGGACAAACCTACTTTAGGTGAAAAACTTTGTGCAAATTCCATACTAACCATTCCCACTTACTCCTCCTTCCCTTTCCTTTGTCTCCTTTGAAGGAGTAAAGAGAAGATGGATTTCTGGACAAATAAAGGGCTGAGACTATATGTTGTCTGGTCCATAGCCTCTGTAGCCACAGGCCCAAGCAGCTAAATTACAATCTCTGCATGCATTTGGCTCAAGTAATGTCAGAACTTGGTCAATGATTCAGTTTCACAAATTTTGGATCCTTGTCTCCATATACCCCTTCCCAACTCAGGACCTACCCGAGAAAGCCAAATATGCTCCACAAGCCAGTCATATAGGAAGCCCTCATGCCAACAACTTACAGTCAGACCTGAAGCCTTTGACTTTATTATAGACTTTGTAGTGTTTTGTTTTGTTTTTCACCACAAAGCTTTTCTTACTCCCTTGCCTACCTTGGAATTTTTATTAAAGGCAAATGTTGGTGGCTGACTCCCTTGCTATAGCAAACTCTGAATAGGTCGCATATTTCACTTGCACTACATTTATTTCTACAGAAACATTGTTTCTCCCCAACAAATCTGAAAGAAAAGACTGAGAAGTGCAGAGAGCAGAGACACCCTCCAATGAAACATATATGTTCAATCCCTACAGTTTCTTTATCATAATGACTGAGTGACAGATCTCAAAGGTATAGTCATCCAACCCTTCCTCTTGTCTTCCAGAAAACTCCTGGCAGAACCTTTTCTTCTTCTTCTTCTTCTTTTTTAGACAGAACAACAAACAGACAAAAAACAGAGATAAATCTCCTATCTGCTGCTCACTTTCAAAATGGCTACAATTATCCAGGGCTGGGTCAACCTGAAGCCATGAACCAGGAACCCCATCCAGGTCTCCCATATCGGCAGAAGGAATTCAGGTATTTAAACTACCATCTGTTGCTTTCCAGGCACATAAACAGGGAGCTAGATTGGAAATAGGAAACAGGACTCCAACCAGCACTCCTGTGTGGAATGCGGGTGTCCCAAGTTGCAGCTCAATCCATTCAATTTAGCAGACTTTTAAAACTCCTTTTGAGGTCCATGTGCAGGCTGGATGTCTTTTCGTTGATATCTATTGAGATTATGGAGGCAAGTTGACCATCGCCATCTTCACTGCATGAAGCTCCTTTGGCCCAGTTATCCCACATGCAGCATCATGTGCTCCCTGCACAATGCACACACTCCTGTTTTAATCCAGCACCTTTCTCCGTCTCCCAGGTGGTCGCCCTAAAATCTGTGAAATTCATGATCTTTATGCACCCTCCAAGTCCAGTTGTTGAAACACAGTCTCCATTGCAATTGTATTAAGAAGTGGAGACTCTGGCTCTGCTCTCATGATGAAGTTTACTGCCCTTATGAAATATGTCTGAAGGATCTTGTTTGTGCCTACTGCTGTGTGAGAACACAGTGATAAGGTACCACATCTGAAGATGAGTCTGAAACCTCACCACTCTAAATATACTGGTGCCAGAATATACCCAGCTTGCATAACTGTGAACCATACATTTTTAAAAAATTCTTGTCATTTGTTTATTTAATGAAAGTACATTGTCATTCTATATCCCAGCTTAAAATATTACATGTTCTCTTTTGTGATATTTTTGTTGTATGTAATAATTATCCAGTCAATTGAATTTGGTTACCAAAACCTGAATGGACTAAGACACTGGTGCTGCTTGTGCACCAGAGACACTGTGACAGAAGGGAAAAGTTGTGGAAGCCCCAACCCTGGTATACTTAGACTGTCTTTGTGATTTTGGGTCCGGGTCAGACCAAGACCAATCCTCCCAAGAGTAGGGAATGTCCTGGTTTGATTGTGCCAGTAAAGAGGTCACAGTTTAGGGAAGGAAAACACTGGTCTCCATTTCTGACCGCATTGGCTGTGCTCTGGTGTTCTGCTGTCTCCTGGTCCTTCTCAGGCCCTTGATTTTCTGTTTCTACTCTCAGTACTCAATTAGTCTTTCCATGCAAAATAATCTAATTCTATTGAGTTTGCTGCTCAGCTTCAAAGAAAGTCACCATACAATACTCAAGTGATAATTCTACTTACCCGAGAAGAAATAATTCTGTAAATATTGAAGTAGACTTCAGAGGAAGAAACTCATTGGGAACAAAGAGGAATGCCACATAGTGGTGAAGGAGTATTACTTCACCAAGAAGACATGACAGTTGTAAAGGCACGTGAACCTAAGAACAAAATACATGAAATAAAATATTATAAAACCATAGAGAAAAATAGAGGAATCTACAATTGCCCTTGGAAACTTCAACACTGTGCTCAGTACCAGAGTTTGCAAGCATTTCTGTCTACTAAGACAAGCTTTATTGTCTTTATAGGTATTATAGTTTCTTAAATATCTTGAATTTACTACCATAATCAGATGTTTTGATGTGATAGTTTTGTTCTCACAGCACAATTTTTTTAATAAGGATCATACTAATTAGGAACTTGAAAAATATATATTACATGTTAAATACATAATTATATATTTTATATAAATATATATTTATGCATATCATATACTCAGTGTCCCTAAAGGTCATGTATAAGTTAACTTGAAGCAATATCATATGTATTATATTTAATACATATATACATATATTGCTCTGATGGAATATATATATATAAATATGTCTACTATTATAATATTGTATGCATCTATAGCGTATATCTATATTTATATCTGTATTTATATCTATCATCTATATCTATGTCTAGAGGAAGCAAGTTGCTAGATTTCCTATTAAATTTCTATTAAGTTCTATTCATAAATTAAATAAAATCTTTAGATGGCTCAAAATATTAATTAATTTGTTAATGTAACAGATACAACGGTCAACGAGTAACTCCACAATTATTTCTTCTACTTCTTCTATACCCTTCCTTCCTTCCTTCCTTCCTTCCTTCCTTCCTTCCTTCTTTCCTTCCTTCCTTCCTTCCCTCCTTCTGTCTTTCTGTCTTTCTTTTTAAAAATTTATTTATTTACTTGAAAGGCAGAATCACAAAGAAGCAGAGGCAGAGGCAGCCAGAGAGAGAGGTCTTCCATCTGATGGTTCACTCTCTAAATGTCCACAATGGCTGGAGATGGGCCATCTGAAGCCAGGAGCCAGGAGATTCTTCCAGGTTTCCCACAGTGGTGCAGGGGCCCAACGATTTGGGCCATCTTCCACTGCTTTCCCAGGCCATAGCAGAGAGCTAAATGGGAGGTAGAGCAGTTCAGACTCAAACTGGCACTCATATGGGGTGCCGGCACTGCAGGTAGTGGCTTTACCAGCTATGCCACAGCGCCAGTCCACATGACTCTTTTTATAACTACTTTAATGGCCACACCATCATTATCTCATCATTATTACCATTTTACCTAATATTTATTGACAGCTAATTGAATGCCATGTGATGTTCCAATGCCTAACTCACATCATGTAATTTAATCACATAAACCCTACATGACACAGAACACTGAAATTAACTCGTTCCTCTAGGCAGGGTCCAAGTTGATGAGAATATCCTGGGCGGATTGCGGGCTCATCCCTTGAGGCTTGTGTGCTGTCAGCATGGGTGGGGCAACAGTGCTCTTGGACAAGAATCGCTGGAGACAGGTTTCAGTGAACATGTCTGCTTTATTAATGACAAGACATGCTTTTTAAAGGACAGGCAGGAGGGGCGTAACTAATTAGGGCAGCACTAATTCTATAGGATAGAAAGAATATTGGTGCTGCTATGCTTCTCCAATCAGCTTGAAGGTCACATAGGCTACCATAGCTTTCCTGATGGGCCTGTGCCACACCCAGGAGAAGTTTACCTGATTGGTGGTGGTGGTGGTGGGGTGTTGGGGGTTTGGGAGGCTGGGGAAGATGTGCCTGGGGCTCCTGCTGCCTGCCAATAGCCAGGCTGCGGGGTCCCTCCTGGGAGGCGTGGTGCGCCACGCGCTCTCAACCTCCCTCCTAGGAAGGGCAGGCAGTCTCACAGGATCACCCACAGTGGTTGATCTTAATTTCTAATTCTTTCTGAAACAATAGTTTTTAAGAGTAAATACAGATCCATGTTTACAACCTGCCTTGAAGGAGACAGCCATCTCCCTCACAAATCTTATATTTTGAAATGTTTGGTCTCACAACAGACATTTCTTTGTTTCATTTTCAAGAACAGTAAGATGAAATTAGAGTATTTAGCCTTTGCTTCTATTATTTCTTTTGGTTTTAGCGAAGCTCCTAGGGCAAAGTGACATACACAAGAAGGTCTGTAATTTTAGGGAGACAGCACTGAACATGGCACCATGATTGTCACAGTCTCAGCAAACATCTATGAGCAAGCTGGGAAATAAAGTCATGCCAGAGTCCATCACTACTCAATGCAGCTAGCGTATCTCAATTACTGGCTAATGGTGAAGTTTTGGAGGAAAAAGCACTTGTCTAAAGTCAATAGTGTGAGGATGGTATTCTAGCTCAGTTACATTGCTATACTTCATGAACTTGAATAAGACACTTTTCTTCTATGGGTCTTGATTTTAATTTCCTTGAGATCTCAGAAGAATTCATTTCAGTCTTTCAACACCAAGTATGATGTTATATGTGGGTTTTGGACAAATTTTCCTTATTATGTTAAGATATTTTATCTCTAGTTATTTTCTGAGTGTTTTTTAATCATAAAACAGTGTTGAATTTGAATAACATACTTTTTCTGCATGTATTGAATTGATTATAAATTTTCTCTTTATTTTTAAAATGGCTTACTGTACAGATTGGCTACCCCATGTTGAAAAACCCTCATATTACTGGAATATTATTTAATCTTTTTCAGGTATTTATACATTTTATTGGCCAGGATTTGTTGAAAATTTGCTGCCTATGTTAATAAGGACATCCATCTATAATTTCTTTCTGTGTAGGTGGCAGGATAATGCTGACCTCAAAGAATGTGTTAAAAAGTGGTTCTTCCTTTTACATCTTGTTGAGTTGTGTTACTTTAAATTTTGGTGGAATTCACCAGTAAAGCCATTTGGTTCTAAACTTGCCTGTGTTGGGAGGATTTGCTCATAGACTCAGATTCTTCTTTTCTTATAAAGTATGTTCAGATGCTCTTTTTTTTTTTCTAGAGTTAGTTCTTGTAATTTTAATGTTTCTAACAACTTTTCATTTTAATCTGTTCTGTCTAATTTGATGACATACATCAGTTTTTATCACTCTACTATAATCTATAATTCCTTTAATTTCTATATGGCTAGTAGCAATGCCCTTTCATTTAGTATTTTAGTTAGTGTATTTTTTCTACAGTTTTTCCTTAGTTTAGTTAACATTTTGTCAACTTTTGAGAATCCTTTCAAAGAAATGACTATGAGTTTTGTTGACTCATTCCATTGTGTGTGTGTGTGTTTTTTTTTTTTTTTTTTTTTTTTTGACAGGCAGAGTGGACAGTGAGAGAGAGACAGAGAGAAAGGTCTTCCTTTTTTTTGCCGTTGGTTCACCCTCCAGTGGCCGCCGCGGCCGGTGTGCTGCAGCCAGCGCACTGCGCTGATCCGAAGCCAGGAGCCAGGTACTTATCCTGGTCTCCCATGGGGTGCAGGGCCCAAGTACTTGGGCCATCCTCCACTGCACTCCCGGGCCACAGCAGAGAGCTGGCCTGGAAGAGGGGCAACCGGGACAGAATCCGGCTCCCCGACCGGGACTAGAACCCGGTGTGCTGGCTCCGCAAAGCGGAGGATTAGCCTATTGAGCCACAGCGCCAGCTCTCATTCCATTGTTTAACAGATCTTTAAAGGAAGAAGAAACATTGGAGAAGATTTATTTATTTATTTATTTAAAAGGCCAAAAGTGAGAGAGAGAGAGGGATCTTCCATCTGTTAGTTCTTTCCCCAAGTGACCTCAAGGGCTGAGTCTGGGCTAATTGAATCCTGGAACATGGAACTCCACCTGGGTCTCCCACATAGATGACAGGGGCCCAAGTACTTGAGCCATCATCCCCTGCTTTCCTAGGTGCTTTAGCAGTGAGCTGGATCAGAAGCAGAGCAGTCAGGAGTCAAACTGGCACCCTGATATAGGATGCCTGTGCAGCAAACAGCAACTAAATCCGCTGGACCATAGCACCAGCCCCAAGGAGTATGTTAGTTTTGAGGACACTAGAATCCCGATCATGCCACTTACTGGTTCAAAATCATTACTAACTCATAATCCAGATATCAAGTAGGAAATGGGATTATTAACATTATGATGTCAAAAATGACAATAGTTTACAAAGGACACCAGAGAACAGTCTGAAATGTTAATATCAGTGAAGTAAAAAGCAGAGGTCAGGATTCTAGGGATTCCTTGGCCATTCAATGTATGAAATTACATTCTCTAACTCCCCTGCTACGTGGAATAAAGTAGTTGTACTCAGTTTCCAAAATGTTGTTCATTGACAGCAGTTCACAAATATTCTTGGAGGATAGAAAATACAATTTTTTTTATCTTTTTATGGTATTGATTTGATAATGATAAGACTCTGACCTTAATAAATGTATAAAAATACTTCCATGAAGTATTTTTTTTAATCTCTTCTGGCTGCAGAATCACTGTTGAGCCCTTTCCTGGGAAGCTTGGACCTGTAGGATGTAGCTTCAGGAACCCATCAGGGGCAGTGTGATTTCATGATCGTCTGACTTTTTGAAGGTGGCAGTTTTCTTACAGTCTACAGGTATTCAGAGAGAGAGTTTTATTATTTTAAGAAATCATAAAAAAGCTATTTTAAAAATTTCAGTTATTTCTGACAACAAAACATTCTCTTTTCCAGACTAGTCTTGTTTAGAAAGGGTCTACATTAAGCAAGTGTCAGAATGACACACCACAAAGTGCATAGAGGGGGAATCTGCTTTAGTGGTATTTGCTCCCTGCGAGAACTCACAACTGTGCACTAGCACCTGCAGTGCCAACGGATGTAACAGATGTGCTCTCCAAATCTCCCTGGATTAATACAAATGAAAGTCTACATTATATCAAGTTCCCTATGAAAAGATGTGTCTACCAGGAGATTACTTAGAGAAAAAGTTTCTTTCCATTTGCTGGCTCAGTTGTCCACAATATACATCTTCCAAGGTCACTGCGCTGTTCAGAAAAAAAAGCATGGAGTTGATATCCAGGAAGTTTCTTGTATTGGCTCTCCCTTCCCTCTTTTTTTTTTTTTTTTTTTTTTTTTTTTTTTTTTT